CCCCAAAACCCCAAAACCCCAAAACCCCTGAGTGGGTCAAAAGATTTGAAAAGTTAGGTAAACTTTTGCCTTTAATAATAATTTTAATATTTAATGGAAACTTACCTAGATATTAAAGAAACTCGTGATAGAGATGATCCTTTGTGAACGAATAATGATTCTAACAACCACTTTCTGGATCAACTAAATTATTCAATTGAAGAATCTTGATGCTTTAAAGACTTTGTAGTAGATCTGAGCTCGAATATAAGAGACTAAGAGTAATAGAAAAGACCTTTAAGTATTTACTGAGAATGATTAATCTTTACAAACGTCTGAAAGCTAACTGTTACTTCTTAAGAATAAACCAAATACAACAAGAGCTACTTTATGGAAGAGATAGAATGGATCGGTCGAACTGGGATGACTTTATTGCTCTGAACCCAGCTATTTCCAAGAGAGCAGAGCATGTGCAAGATACCATTGTTGAACTTCTTGGGAAATGTTAATTCTTGCTCTCAGATGATCCAAATCAAAAGAAAAGTCTCTCAGAAAGAAACATACTAAGAGAGCGAGGAAGACAGTGCTCAAAAGCATCAATTTAAAGACCCTTCCTTATAAGACCTCGAAAGATAGGGATAAATATAAGTAAGAAGTTCACTCCAATTGAGAATCAAGCTTTGGAACAAGCCATTGAATTTAATAGTCAAGTGTGGTCAGCTGTACATAAAAACATGAAAAGTCCCAATACTACTGGAGAAGATGAATATTTCAGGTCTGAAGATAGGCTTCTTATTAATTGTGCAGATAACACAAATCAACGCCTCCTAAAGAGGCTAAAGGGGATTATCCTTACAGTGCTTAACGAGGTAAATTTATGAAACATCTCTGAAGACAATCAGAAAGATGCAAAATCAGTTCTAAATAATTTGATCCGGATGGAAGTTAACAAGTTATCACTTAGCGCTTCGAACCAAATTCAAATTAGTCCCTATATAACTGAACTCATTCAGGAAAGCTCGAGAACCCTAACAAGGTTGACACTTGGCCGTTTTGGAATAAATTAATGTAAAGGGGAGTCCGTCTACCTATTTATTTTATGCAAAAACAGCTATTTCTTAGTAAATAATTTTTACAGTTTCAACCTAAATTATCTCCAAGTCGTTAAAATTTTTGCAGCGTGCAAATATCATAAAGCGATAAAGTTATGCCTATGTGAGATCACTTCGAAAGAGTTTCCTGATTTTTCTAAAGCACTGCAAGGAACTTCTATTCAAATGCTATCTTTGGAGGATATAAATTGAGTACTTTTAATACTCAGCCGAGGGAAAAGATATCGAGTGGGCCCTGAAGTACTTCTCAGCTATCTTTTTAGCTCAGATCTCAAGAACTCTTTGAAAGTATTTGTTTTAGATAAATGTTTAAAGCTTCAAGATATGTATATCCTAATGGGGTTTTGGGGTTTTGGGGTTTTGGGGTTTTGGGG